AGAGAGAGAGAGCCTCTCTGAGGGAGACAGAGGGAGTGGCAATACTGGATCCCGTTCAATTAAATGAAAGAAAAACAATATGCCACAAGATAGGAGTTTTCGGAGTCATTCAAGAGGGACTTGAATTTTGTGGGATACAGAAATTGGGCCCTTATCTAGAGTTTGAAGCTTATTGTTTTAGACAATCAAACAAGGCACTGAGCCTTTTATGTCAAAATTAATATAAGTCCCACAACACCATATTGTGAGGTTATCAAATAGGGTCTAGAAAAGGAGCTAGCAAGTAGTGTCTATCAACAAAATCATGTTAGAACATATATACAGTAGTAGATGCACACAAAACATTTCAAATACCTGAAATTTATTAATTCTAGCAACGATCATGTATATAGAACAAGGTTGCCAAGTTAAAATGGTCATGGTCCACAGTCTCTCATGTCAGGATAGTGTTCGTCTCCTTTTCAAGCATGAACCCGAATGCTTTGACTCCTTTTCTTGCCATGTTAAAATGGTCATGTTCCTCAGTCTCTCATGTCAGGATGGTGTTCGTTTCCCTTTAAAGCACGAACCAACTTTGATTCCTTTTCAAAATATTCATCCACCACTTATTGGGGCTCCTCAAATAAGGGGTTCACATTCGTACACTTCCTGCACCTTCGGTCTCTGACACACACTGCGTGAAAGCTGCAAATTGTGCAAGAAAATTGTAGTTGTCTCCCAATTTGGATTGTTGATGGGGCTGTCAGTTAAGAACCTTGGTAATAGTTTTTGTGGCAATGTTTCATGCTAGAACCTGAGCTCGAACTTTTTTTTTGTAAGCATGATAATTTAGGGCCATCTACCTTAAGTTTATGGATAATCCACATTGAATGTACTGGATAATGTTGCAAGAAAAGGCTCTTAATTTGTTCAAGGACATTAAAGTGAAGGCTCTAAACGCTGCAAAACGGTTTGAAGAACTGAAGGCAAATGAGCGTAAATTGAGGAAAGAAGCTGCTAAGCAAGAAACGGCAAAGATTGAGCAGAAGAATCACAAAATGGAGGAGGAGAAACTAAAGAAGCTAGAGGAGGATAGATAGAGAAGGGAAGTTGAAGCAGCTGCCAAAAACGGCAGAGAGAAGAAGATGAAAGGAGAGAAAAAGAGAGAAAGCTGAAGTGCATTGAAGATGCACAGAGGCAGAGAAGAGAACTTGGAGAGTGCTTGCAGTGAGAAAAAGAGGAGAAAGAGCAAAAACACAAAGCTGTGGTATTTTTTTTATCCTTTCCAGGTTAGTTTCCTGCCTATCACTTCTGCAGATTACTTTTCCAACAAGAAATTTGTGAACTATAGATTTTAAGCATCTCTAATTGTTGTAAAGGACAGTGGTTGAATACTGAAGACAGTCTAATCACAATGTTTCCAGTAAATCTCACATAACTCTAAACGACAATAAGGAAGGCATCAGATATGCTACAAATTGGATACGATGTCAGAAAATGTGTGGCACAATTTGATTCAAGTAAATTAAAAAAAAATCAGGAAGGAAGTTAATAGACCAGAACACCAAGAACTTGCGTTTGTAGAGGTTGAAGATGAATATCCTGGTCGTAAATGTCCATATTTTTGCTGAAGCTACGAGCTACTGCAGCCTGGAAAATTTAGATTACCCATTATCAATATCTGAAAAGATCCACAAAGTGATGAGAATATAGAGAAGAGATCAAGCATGTGGTTGGTATGTGAACATCCTAATCCAACGGAAACAAAAATGCCCAAGGGAAATGAATACAGCCGAACTAATGATGGCAGCCACGTGCACCTGGTCCTCCTACTAAAGTTTAATGTACTGTAGAAAGGATTGAACCATAAATAACTAATAAATTAACATTCAGCAGCTGTTGCTTTTAAATTATGCTAAGGGATGCAGGGGGTCATGAGAATCAAAGCGGCTTCCACATTCAATACTACTGCCATTGGGCAAAACATTTTGGAAATCTTGCCGTACCTTATCATTGTAATATGGTGGGGAAATGTTTCAACTTTCAACCAGTAAATGGGGATAGTGATAGTAGATTCCTTGGTAAAGGACCTAGGCTCTTGAATTCAGAAACCTAATCAGTACTCTTCCAAACTAGCAAGAACCTTCATTCAATGTCATCCCAAGTTCCTGATCAAAATTGATGAACCTTAGTTCCCCATAAATCTAAGAGCTGCCCAGTTACAAAATATATATCTAAATAAACTTACAGCACCAAAATCAACAAAGTCAGTTCATGGTTCCCAATATCTACTAATAACCAAAGGGCCCCAAAACAAGCATCCTAACAGATGCTCAGTTCTAACTTTCTTTTTGTTGCTGCATATCACGGAGTTTGAAGCCTAATGTTTTAGACAATCAAACAAGGCACTGAGTCTTTTACATCAAAATTAATATAAGTCCCACAACACCATATTGTGAGGTTATCAAACAGGGTCTAGAAAAGAAGCTAGCAAGTAGTGTTTATTAACAAAACCATGTAAGAACATATGTACAGTAGTTGATGTACACAAACATATATACAGCAGTAGTCGTACACAAAACTTTTCAAATATTTGAAATGACTAATCCTAGCAAAGATCATGTAAATAGAACAAGGTTGCCATGTGAAAATGGTCATGTTCCTCAGTCTCTCATATCAGGATAGTGTTCGTCTCCTTTTCAAGCATGAGCCCGAATTCTTTAACTCCTTTTCAAAATATTCATCCACCACTTCTTGGGGCTCCTCAAATAAGGGATTTGTGAACCCTGTTGAGTCTGTTAATCTGGATGAGCTCTCTGCCATATCGCTGCCAGGATGGAGCAGAAATGAGATCATTGATACTCTATTTGTTAGCTGTGAGCGATGAAAGAAAATATGGACTTGGGTCGGGACTCGCCAAGTCTGAGTCTGACTGACAGACATGGCTGAGTCTCGGACAGAGTCGGCGGAGTCTGTGCAAAAAATATATTAAAAGAATGGATACCAGCCATCTCAGTCTGTTCCCATGTGAATTGCTCCAGACCTGGCACCCTGCTGAGTCCGAGTGACTTGGGCTGGGCAAGTCCAAGTGACTCACCCAAGTTTTGTGTCACTAGTTGAGAGAGAGAGAGAGAGAGAGAGAGAGAGAGAGAGAGAGAGAGAGAGAAGAGAGAGAGAGAGAGAGAGACGTAGT